CTTAGAGAGATTGACTTGTGTTTACCAGTGACTCTTGATTAAGGAAGGGTCAGCAAACCCCGGTGTGGAAAGCCAGCGTGTAAATGCTTGAGGTTTGGCAGGTCACAACGGCCTCTCTTACAGTCTTTGTCTTGTGGCTGCTGTTTGTTTTGTCCAACTATTTTTTTTTTTTTTTTTTGGTTTTTTGAGACAGGGTTTCTCTGTGTAGCTTTGTACCTTTCCTGGAACTCACTTGGTAGCCCAGGCTGGCCTCGAACTCACGGAGATCCGCCTGTCTCTGCCTCCCGAGTGCTGGGATTAAAGGCGTGCGCCACCACCGCCCGGCTTGTTTTGTCCAACTATTTAATAACAGACAACATTCTTCACAGCTCTAGGCTGCACAGAGACAGGCTGTTGGGCAGATTCGGTAGATAGGTGGAGGTTTGCCAGCCCCCACTCAAGGTCTCTCTCTACTGTGCAGATATCCCAGTGCTCAATGATGGCCATTGATGTCACTTCTCTTGGTCACTGCTTCACGAACATAACATGTGCAAGCTGTGTAAGGATGTGGAACCTGTGGGTAGAGAGGGTGAGCACTGGGCATGTACATAACATGTGCATGCTGTGTAAGGATGTGGAACCGATGGATAGAGAGGGTAAGCACTGGGCATAAGCAGATTGAGCAGAAGTTTCAATGGTTAAAGATGTCAAGGTTTAAAACAAGTGGAAGCCAACATCATTTTTCTTTTGAGTGTATCCTTTTGGTATGTCCTTTTGGGCGTTTCCTTTTGTTTAAGAAATTTCTTTGAGAGTCTAGGGATTTAGCTCAGTTGGTGGAATGCTTGCCTAGCTTGCATGAAGCCCTGGGTTCCATTTCCTAGCATGGCACAAACTGGGCATGATGGAGTCATCTGTAATCCAGCTCTTGGAATATAGAGGCAAGAGGATCAGAAATCAGTCATTCTCGGTTACCTAGAGAGTTCCAGGTCAGCCCAGGAGACACGAGACCCTTTCTATAAGTCAAACAAATAAATAAACCAACAGGAAGTTGCTTACTATTTTGTATGGACAAAGTTCATATGTTAAGCCTCCAACCCCAAGTGATGGTATAAGGAAGCTAGGCCTCTGGTGGTGGCTGGGTTACAAGAGTGAAGAATTGTGGTGGGATTAGAGCCCTCATGAGAGGAGATGACAGTCTGCTAGCTCTCTTTCCCTGCTTTCCATCATGTGAGGATACAAGCAATCCTCCTGAGCCAGGAGGGGGTCGCTCACCAAGAGCCGGCACCCTGACCTTAGCCTAGAATTCATAATGTTCTCGCCTTACTTGGCAAAGTTCTGTTTTATTTTGCTTTGCTGTGCTGGAGACGGAACCCAGGGCTTTGCACATGAAAGAAAGCGCTCCAACTTTCAGCTCAGCAATGGCCCGTTTGTTTGTGTGTGTTTGTTTGTACACCAGCCCATTTTTATTTCTCATGGGTTCTATGATTAGTCTGTCGTGTACCATGAAAAGTCCTATGGGGATCTGTGCAGAAATTTAATTAACTTTGTAGATTAATTTGGTGAGAAGTGATACGATTATAATATGGACTCTTTCTACTCAGAATGTGTATGGTATAAATTTCCATCAGTCAGGCCTGGAGTAATTTTTGTGTTTGTCTTAATTCATTTATAGTACTGTAGCAAAGTGCCCAAGACTGGATAATTCATAAACAACCAGAATTTATTTTCGCAAAGCTCCGGAGAACTCAAAGTTCTCCAGGATCAAGGACTCAGCAAGTTTGGTATAGGTGAGGGCCAGTCTCTCGTGCAAAGATTGTACCTGGAATGTGGCATCCTCTGGAGGACTCAAATGGTGGAATAGACAGAATCATCCCTTCCCAAGCACACACAAAGTGCTCGTCCCATCTATGAGGGATCTGCCCTTACAACTTTATCCTTTCCGAAAGGCTCATATCTGAATTTTCACGCTCATAATTAAGCTTCAGGACATGAATTTGAGGAGCACATTCAGGTCATAGCGATATTGGTCACGAAAGGTCCAGCATATTTTTTCTAAATACATTCTAAGGTTTTTATTGTTATTATAAATAGAATCTATTTTTCTGTCCTATTTTCTAGTCGTTTTGTTTTGGAGACAGGGCCTCATGCATCCCAAGCTGCCTCTATGTATACAAGGATAACCTTTAACTTCTGATTCTCCTGTTTCCACCTCTCCATGCTGGTATTACAGGCTTATGCTAAGTTTATGCATCATTGGGGAATCTAACCCAGGGCTTCATGCATGTTAGGCAAATGCTCTACCAACGGAGCTACACTCCCAGCCTTCCACTATGTTTCCTATTATTATTACAGGTGTACAGGAATATGAATAATTTTTTAAAGATTTTATATTTTTGTGTCTGGATGTATGCATATGCACATGTGTGTGGGAATCAGTGGAGGCCAGAATAGGTTGTTGGATCCCCTGGAACTGGAGTTTCAGGCAGTTGTGAGCTGCCTGGTTTGGGTGCTGGGAACCATACTCTGGTCCTCTGCAAAAGTAGCAAGTGCTCTTAACTACTGAGCTATCTCTCCAGACCCCTGGGGGATACGAATTGTTTTTAAGTTGATCTTGGATACAGCAATCTTCCTAGCTCTCTCACTAGTCCTAATAATTTATCTGTTTAATAATTTATCTCTTGCATCTTCTACAGAGCAATCATATTGTCTGCAAATACGGGTAGTTTTTCCTCTCCAATTCTTAAGATTTATTACCTTTATCTGCTTCTATTATAGGTTGGATCATATAAATTGCTGATTTGGGGAGCTTGTGACCTAAAAAAAAAATTGGCAATTTCATTAACTTAACACATTGCCTAAGACCTCCAGTGCAGGGCTAAATAAAAACAGTGATGGAAGATAGCCTTGTCTAAGTCTGACTCGGATGGAAATTGCTTGTAAGGTTTTTCCGTTTACCATACTTCAGGTTTATTGAGTTAAGGAAGCAGTGTGTAAGGGTTGCATCAGGTGAATATTTAATTTGTTAAGGTTGCATATTACATTAATGAATTATCTGACTGAACCTGTCCGTGTATTCTTGGGAGAAAGCCCACCTTTCTATGAAGCATTATTTTCCCTATGGGCACTGCTGTGCTCGACTTGGTATTATCTTATTTAGAATTTTAGAATCTATATTCATAATAGACAATAACAGCTAACATTTATTAAGTTTTATGTGTTCCGGGCCTATTAAGCAGCATTAAGGTACTTTCCATGACTTATTTCCTTTCATCCTTAGAAGGCCTACTGGGAGGTTAGTTCCTCTTTTTAAATATGAAGGAATGAAGGCCAAGAGAAGGCAATCACTTCCTCAAGGTCACATAGGAGATTAGTATGTAATAAAAATCCCAGTTATCAGACTCAGGAGGTCATGCAGTCCCCTGGGTTAGAGACCTGTCAGGCAGACTGGCCTACTGTGTACTTTCCTTATACATTCTTGTTCCAGCTTAATGCCAAGTTATGTTATCCCCTAGAAAGTAACTGGCTAGTTCTCTTTTTCTCTTATTAAAAAAAAAAACCTGAGTCCGAGGAAATGGCTCACTTGCCGTACAAGCATGAGCACCTGAGTTTGAATCTTCAGCACCATGTAAAAACTGGGGTGTGGTCCCATGGTCCTGTAACCTCAGTCCTGTGCCACTTGCTGGCATTCAGCCAGCTCCAAGTACAGAGAGAGACCCTGCCTCAAAGGAATACAATGGAGAGTTACAGAGAAGGACCTGACGGCCTCCTCTGGCCTCCATGCTGATGCATGGTAGCATGTGCATGTAACTGCACACATATGTCTGCATGTACCACACAGGAGGACTGACTCTTTGTCAGGCTTCTGTAGAAATAGTTTGTCTGGAGTGAATTCACTGGTTCTTATTTTATTGTCTGTCTGATTGCTTAATTTGTTTGCAGCTTTTTGTAGGCACATTTTGCTGTTTTATATATCAGATTTGTAGGAAAAGAACAAGTACCACACAAAGAACTTATTTCTTTGTGCCATCAAAAAAAAATCATTCCAAGTTTTTTTTTTGTTTGTTTGTTTGTTTTTTGTTTTTCGAGACAGGGTTTCTCTGTGTAGCTTTGCGCCTTTCCTGGGACTCACTTGGTAGCCCAGGCTGGCCTCGAACTCACAGAGATCCGCCTGGCTCTGCCTCCCGAGTGCTGGGATTAAAGGCGTGCACCACCACCGCCCGGCCAAAGAGGAACTTGTTAACTGTTGACTTGCTGAGAGGCTTCCCTGGGTTTGGTTCAGGGAGATCATGGACCTCTTTTCAGTCTGGTTATGTCTTTGGATTCACTTTGTGAGTCTGACCTATGATTGCTGCAGTTTAAAGAGCAGAGGATTCACTCAGACCTAAATCCTCCAAACCATCCCTAAGGAGGAGGTTCATTTCATAGACGACGATGTTGTTTGACTTTTGTTTTTGTTTTAAAAACCCGGGGCCGACATGTCAAGTTACAGCAAGAAGACATTGGTGAATGCGCCTGGACCTCTGTCTTCTTTAGGCAGTCGCTCCTCGCGGCTCACTCTGTCCCTGAAGCAGCTGGCTGCCTCTTGGGAGAAGGTAGCAGGGCTGGGAGAGCCAGCTTTGGCTTTAGCAAGCCTCCCCTCCTGAGAGGCCCTTTTGCATGTGTTGGGGTGGGGGTGGGGGTGAGGGGTGGGGGAGGTTCTCCCTGGCACTGACACCTGTTTTGTCTTGTCCTCTAACTCTAGATTCTGAAACTTAGCCGCGGGTCACCTAGGAGCAATCTCCCCGATTGCTGTTTGCTCCTTTCAGCCACTCAAGTTGCTTCTGGTAAGCTCAGGCTAAGAAGGTGAGGGAGTGGGGGGGATGCAGCCAGCCCACTCTGACCCTCCCTCACCCTATAACTCTACCCTTCCCCAGTCTCCAAGACAAATAAGGAGACAAGAGCTAGTCCACCCTCTCGAATGCCATGCACTGCCCGCTCCTGAGTGTGGGAAAGTCTCTGGACCATCCTCCTTAGCCACAGGTCCCCATGGACACACCCGGCCCCAGGTCTCCCCGTAACTCCAGTTCAGTCCCCTGAGTGGGCGGGACCCACAGCGGCTTCCCAGGCGGGGCTCACGGGCTCCGCTGGGTCCTAGTGCAGCCGTCAGACAGACTGCCAACCGGGACAGTCGCTCACTCGCAGCTCCAGGGCCCGGGTGACCGGCAGCCACCTGACCGGCCATGAGGGGCACGCCCCTGCTCCTCGTCTCTCTGCTCGTCCTGCTTCGGAGGCACGGTGAGTTCTTTTCAGGGAAGGAGGGAGGGACAAGGGTCGCGGGGTGGGAGGAGTGGCCGGACCGTCTGGAGCGTGGGCGGGGCAAGCCCTGTGGGGTTGCAGCCTGGCCTGGGTGGTGGCCGGGTGAGGTTTGGGGTCCCCTCCACCTTCTCCTGAGCTGCCGGGTCACTATCGGGGGTTGAGTGTCTTCAGCTGGGCAGTTCAGCTCAGTCCCGACGCTAAGAGGTCCCCACCAGGTCCTCAGAGGATCTTTTCCTCTCTACTGAAGGGACGGACTTGTCAAGCTGTAAATGTATGGGAACAAACCTGCTGTTTGGCGAGAGAGGTCACCCTAACACCACCACCCCGCGCCTGGAAAGTATTTTTGCACTTCGGGGATGGGTTTTCCAGAAATTACATCTATGGCAGGCCCTGCCTCATCTGGTCCCCTAACCCTACTTAGTTGAAAGCAGGTTAGTGAACTGGGGTCTGTGAACCTGCCACTGCCATTGGGAAAGAGATCACTCAGCCCTCATCCCTAGGTTTAGTTCAGACACAGTGAGGGTTGTTTCTTTCAGACTTAGTTGTCCCAACTAAATTCCAAGGTCCTATGTAGCTTCTACATGCCCCATCTCTCTCTCTCTCTCTCTCTCTCTCTCTCTCTCTCTCTCTCTCTCTCTCTCTCTCTCTCTCTCTCTCTCTCTCTCTCTCTCTCACACACACACACACACACACACACACACACCTGCATCTGGACCAGTGGACCCTGAAGACCACAGAGGCCACCTCCAGAAGGTGCTAGAACTGGGAGTGGTGGGACTTTCAAGGTCGCCTCCTCTTACCAAAGATAACATTGGCACAGTGTGCATTGTGGCTTTGGGTCCCTGCTGGGTGCCCTATTCCATTACCCCCTTCAATTTCCCTGTCTGCTCCATGGCAACAATCTGCCTCACCTGTCATCTGGCAAACATTTGCCATGTTCCTGAAGTGTGGTCCCACAAGGCTGTCTGCGTCTCCCTATACAGACTCCTGGTCCCTGGGCTCAAGGGATCTGAATCTCTGGAAATGGGACTTGGGACTCTGCTTTTGTATAGCCAGGTGATTCCTACCTGTGATTGGAGATGCATGGATAGTTTAGCAAGTTCCTTTTAAGACAGCATTTGGAGTTTCTTTCTTATTATTTATTGTGTGTACAGTGGTGTGCCTGCATGTATGCCTGCACAGCAGAACAAAGCACCAGATCTCATTATAAGTGGTTGTGAGCCACCATGTGGTTGCTGGGAATTGAACTCCGAACCTCTGAAAGGGCAGACAGTAATCTTAACCTCTGAGCCATCTCTCCAGCTCATGTGTTTGGAGTTTCTAAGATGCTCACAGCTATCCTTTAATAAGCCCACACCCTCACCTGACAAGCCTTTCAGATACACACTGGCCAGTGAGATTCTGTTAACCATGACATCCCCAGACAGTGAGATAGCTTTCCACTTCTTGATTGGATATGCGCTCTCAGACTGGACATGCCACAAAAGTTCACAATTCCACTACAGTCTCTATCAGATCCTTAACCGCTTTCTTCAAGGGAGCCCTCTGGCCACCGGAAATCTACAAAGGCAAGACCCTGGGCAGAGGCCAATGGGGCCACTTTTTATCACCATCACTGTATCATGATGACCTCTAGTGGTGGCTTCTGTGCTTAACTGTATAAAAGTTTGATCCAATGAAGGCCCTACCAGTTCCTCAGAAGCTGGGGGTGAACCAGCCTGTTCCAGTCTTTTGTCTGACAGGCTCTGGAAAGCATTAGGAATAGCATGTGCTATTGGGGTACCCTTCCACTTTGTAGGTGAAAGGGGGGTGCGATCCAGCGGTAACAGCCCTGCTGGTAGTCATTCCATCCCTTGGCCCATCCACAGACATGCTAACAAGCACACACACACACACCAATGATAGCCTTAGCAGGGCAGCCTCCCTCTGGGGCAAGTTAACGGGGGTACTAAACAAGCACAGGGGTCAGGGAGGGTCTGTGTGTGAAAGAAGCCCCTGGACATGGATGGCTCTGTCTAACTTGCTAGGAGTCCTGAATGGTCTAGAGTCATGGTTCTCAACCTTCCTAATGCTGAGACCCTTCAATGCAGTTCCTCATGTTGTGGTGACCCCCACCATAAAATTATTTCATTTCTACTTCATGACCGTAATTTTGCTACTGTTATGAATCATAATGTAAACATCTGATATGCAGGATATCTGATGTGTCCTGCACATCATGACCCACAAGTTGAGAACTGCTGGTCTGGAGGAACTTTTAATTCCGGAGTCCATAGTTGCTCCATGAGATGGAAGAGTCCTTGAGTCAGCTGAACACTGAAGAGGGCAAGTTGAAGATGACAAAGCTCAGTACCCCCAGGTGGGTTCAGAGCTCAAGCATAAGCCCCCATCACCTGCTGAGCAGCCTGGAACCTTTGGTCTGGTTGCAACCGCCTCCTGGGGCAGCAGAGATGGATCCAACATCCCCTGGCATTGCAGGACTGGAGGCTGGAAACTGCAGAGCCTACCCCAGTGCTGCCAGAGAATGCCAGGTAGATCTGGTCAAGTCAGATTTCTCTCTATGAAATGAGAGGTCATCCCAAAGAAACCAAAGATTGTAAGAGGGACCCAGGTATATCCTGTGGCTACAGATTGGCCCCAAGGGTATTTCAGCTGGTGGCCTGTGGAGAGGGAATTCAAGATGTTGTAGAGGAGCCAAGCTCAGACTCTAGTCCAGACATCCGCTGGACAGCCCTCCCACCCTACCCCCAGCTCAGCCTGGGGGAGGGGCAGCGGGCAGCAGGTGTGCCGGGAGCATCTTTCTCAAGGCACTAAATATTGCATCTGTTCTAGATAGGCAACGAATTGGAAAGTGCATGGAGTAGGCAGGGCAGCGGCTGCTCACCATAACATGTGGATAGCCCCGCACCCCCCCCCCCAGAAGTCCACCTCACATTTGTTAGATTGGAATGATTCATGTTCTAAGTACTCTGGCTCCATCCAAAGGGGCAGGGGGATTTTGGGAAGATGTGAAGGCTCTGCCCTCTCTCGTCTCTTTTCCTGCTCCTGGGCATCCTGTTCATGTGCCCTCGACCTTCCTTTGGATCTCCTTCTTTCCGTGTCTCATCCCCCACCCTACCTGACATAGTCTCCTTAATGACACCACAGTACACAATCAAGTCCTTAAACATCACCTTCACTACCAGACACGAGAGGCGGATGAAACAAAGACCCAGACCCTGCTTGGCAAGAGCTCTAAGATGCACAGGAAGGTCAGCTCTTGGGCTGTGAGTGCTCAGAGGGATGATGCTGTCTGGGGCTCCCTGCAAGAGACTCGCTTGGAGCTGGTCCTGAATGTGGCTCAGAGCCAAGAACTGTCTTACCGGAAAACAGCTGCCAGCTGGACCACTCCATTTGGTGTCTCAGAGAGACCTTGTGTTCTGTAGGTCAAAGTCTGGGTCCAAGAAAGCCTCCCTGTTTTCTTATTCGTGTGTGTGTGTGTGTGTGTGTGTGTGTGTGTGTGTGTGTGTGTGTGTGTGTGTGTGGTGTTGCAGACACACATCCGTGTCTCCTCAAGCACACTTCACCTTTATGTTTTTGAGACAGGGTCTCCCACTGAACTGTAAGCTCACTAGTTTGGGCTAGGCTGCCCAGCTAGTAAGATTCAGGGATCTGTGTATCTCTGCCCCACCTCAAGGCTATTTTGTGTGGGTTTGGGACTCCAACCTGGGTGCTCCCGCTTGCACGGCAGACATGTTACCAACAGAGCCATCTTTTCTAGCCCCCGTTTGACATTTCCCCCCTCCGGGAAAGCACTCCCACACTCCCAGGTCTGCAGACAAGCCACATTTCAGGAAGTGTTCCTGGTCCGAGGTACCCACACGCCTCCCTTGGGCTGGGAACTGCTGGGGTTGTGGTTGTTCTCGGCACACAGCACTGGGCACAAGCTCCACTCAGACATTGGTCAGGTGGTGGGCTGGGCACAGCCCTCAGCAGACAGAGGATGCCCAAAGGCCCGGAAATGAGACAGCAAAGAGGCTAGCAGGGGGTGTGGCCAGAGAGCAGGGTCTGGGGTCAGCTCAGGTGGGAAAGTGAGAGAAAAATAGAAGGTAAGAAAAAGAAGCCATTGCTAAGGGCCAAAGGCCTCAAAGGTCAAGCCAAAGCATTCTTGGTTTAACTGCCTTCAGCTCAGAGAGGCTGTGGGGGTGGGAAGAGCCCCCGCCCAGCGTTCTGTAGGAAGACTACCTGGCTCTGTAGGGGTAGCTGGGGCAGGTGGGTGAGTGGGAAGAGCCCCCACCCAGTGTTCTGTAGGAAGACTACCTGGCTCTGTAGGGTAGCTGGGGCAGGTGGCTGTGGGAAGAACAAGGAGATGCCGGGACAGTCCCGGGCAGGAGAGGTAAAGGAAGACGGCCGAGGGGTGGCAATGGGAGGACAGACTAGGTGATCCGGCAAGTAGAACAGATAGCTCTCAGTGGCCTGGGGGGAGGGGAGGGCAGGAAGGAACAGATGCCCGAGCTTGGGACTGGATGTCTGGAGCATAGAACACCATTCCCTGCCAGGAAGGCACACCATTCCCTGAGCAGGAGGAAGCAGCCAGGCCCAGAGGGAAGAATGGCACAGGCAGGCCGGCTGGCACCTATGCCCCCCCCCCCAGCCCCAGGGTTCCTGTGCTCTGCTTCTCACAAGCCCCTCTTCACTGCCACAGCTGCAGTGGGGTTCCTCCGGACAAGGGCCCAGCAGGTCTGACTGTACGATTTCCCAGGGGACTGCCGCCTGGCCAATGCAGAGGAGAAACTGATGGATGACCTCCTGAACAAAACCCGCTACAACAACCTGATCCGCCCAGCCACCAGCTCCTCTCAGCTCATCTCCATCCGCCTGGAGCTATTACTGTCCCAGCTCATCAGCGTGGTAGGTGCCTGGGCAACTGTGGCTTGAGGCTTAGGGGAAGAGGCAGGGCTTGTTTCCAGTCGCCCTCAGGGCCTTGGGGAAAGCAGTGGATGCCTGTTCAGGGTGCAAGGCTGGGAGTTAGGTGGCTGAAATGTTACTTCTGACCTTTGCCAGATGGGTAACGTTCCTGGTTGCCAATTTTTTCCTCGACTGTTTCTTAAAACATCCATTACTATATATGTTTGGTAGACACATGGTAAGTTTCTTTTGTGGGGTGCGGTGTGACATGGCATTCATCTATGTAAGGATCATGTCAAGGTCGTTGGCATACCTAGAACTTCAGACATTCATCTTTGTGCTGGGCATAGTCAAAATTCTCTCTGTTGCTATTTTGAAATGTCCATTTAATTGTTACCAACCATCGGTATCAGCTGTGTGTCTTGCTGTCCAGCGCCACCCCATGCCCATCTCTCCATTCCTCCTCCCTGGCACAGCCTTTTGTAAATGAACATTCAACACTATTTTTCAGACAATCTGACCTTTCCCCCATAGCTACGAGTTAAACAATTTACCTGAACTATGAGGGTGCTGAGCATCCTTCCAGGGTAGGATTCTTTCATCTGAAAAAAAAAAAATATTGCCTCTACACATGCTGTTCTTTCTGCCTGGGATGTCCTGCCCCTCTGTGCACCTCTGACTCATAGTTGAAGCCATCTGAAAACCCACACTCTCAATAGCAATTCAAATGTCTTGGCATTCAGTAATAGGGCATCCAATGGAGAGTGGCTACAGCAGAAAGGGCATCGATCATATCACATAACCAGGAGCAGGCCAATGCTGGCAGTGTTGGCTAACTCAACAATCCAAGAATGCCAGGGCTCTGGGGTCCTGCCAGTGATGTCAAAAACTGCGGAAAATCTTTTGGGTCTTTTCGAGACAACAACAACAATAACAACCAAACTCTCTCAGTCCTGCTCTCTTGATAGACACTTTTATCTCATTGGCCAGGCTTAGTAACTCACATCCAAGCCTAACCAGTTGTTGGCCAGAGGACTAGAACTACTCTGGCTGGTTTAGATCTGTCAGCGTGTGGTAAGGAGACTGGAGAAGGTCCATGGTGTTCAATCGTCAAAGAGGAAAGGGTCAGGAAGAACCACCAGGCCGACATCCTAGTGGACCCCTCACGGACGCTACTCACTGGGTCTCCAACGCTCGTGGCTCCCAGCTTGCTAGGGATGGCCTCCCATATCACTAATTTTGTGGGGGAAATAGGAACAAAGCCAGGAGAGATGCTGGGTATGGAGGCTCAGGTGTGGGGCTGAGGCAGGTGGAGGAGGGCCTGGATCAGCACAGGAGGTGACAGCATTCCAGGTGTGGAAAACTGGAGTGAGGCAAGAGGGGGTGCTGAGGAAGGTGAAAGTGGTCAGAATTTGCTACCCTGCCCCCCACAGCTGTCTCAGAGTAGGGGTGTCTGAAGGAACCATGATCCCTTGTAAACCTTCCCATTGTCCACCCAAGGGTTAGAACCCTTGCCTCTGGAAGCAGCTCTGAGGAAGTGATCACATAGGTACTGGGTCCAGCCATCAGGAGCTAGCTGAAGGAGATGGGCCTCCTCTGGGCAATGCCATCTTCTCTTTCTCCACCCCCCCTCGCCCCTTCAGCCCATGAGCCCTACATGCTCAGATTCTCCCATCCATAGTACTTAAGGAGGTTTTGACCAAATTGGTAGCTGCCGTTGGGAGGAAGCCTAGCCCCAGAATGGGGAGGGACATGTGCCCTGCCCTTGCCCTGCCCTAGGAAACTGAAAGCAGAGAGGGCTTCTGGCCAGGCCAGGCCAAGACTGCTGCCTGAGCATCCGTGACCTGCAAAGAAAGGCCCGTGCTTCATCAGGCAAGCCAAACGCCTGCTCTGGCAAAGGCGGACAGGCAGGCAGTTCTGGCCACACTGCTGGACTCAGGGTGCCCCTGCCAGATCTGAGCTGTGGGCCCTGTGGAGTGATAGAGGCTTCCAGAAACAGGAGAGAACACAATCTCCAGCTTCGCTTCTGCAAGCACCCATATGGTCTGTCATAGTCCCAAAAGCCGTGTCTAAAGAACATACTTGGTTGTAGGAGGGAGGGTTCCTTTCTGGGTTTTTGGAAGGTATTTGGTTTTGAGGAGGGAGTTTAAAGATGGAATGTCTAGGGAACAGACAAGGGGTTTTTGCTGGAGGGGGAAGCAGACTTTCTCCACTCTTCTCTTTGTGGAGTGGCAGCCAGGGTCCTCTACCCATATTCTTCCACCTTCAGCAGACACTAGTAGAGAAAGCTAAGGGGCAGAACAAATGCACAGGAGAAATTTCTGGAAGATAGAAAAGTCCCATATCTTAAAATGAGGTAAGAGGTTGAGGAGACAGCTCAGGGGACAGAACTCTTTGCTATACAGTAGAAGGACCAGATTTTGGATCCCCAGAACCCACTTAAAAGCTAGGCAGACATGGTGTCTACCTGCAAACCAAGGACGCAAGGGGCAGAGACAGAGGGCCCCCATGGCAAGCTGCCTAGGTAGAATAGCTAGAGTCAGTGAGCTCCCAGTTCAGCAAGAGACCCTGCCTCAGTAAGTAGAGAAAACCAGTTTAGAAGCCTGCATATACACCTGTCCATGTGTGCACCCACACATGCACACATAAAAACAAAACAAAAATTGCATTTGTGAAAACTGGTCAGGCGGTACCCCTGATATCAGTGTACTCAACATAGAAACCACGCCCCCACATAAAACAGTGTCTTGTTTAGAGACGAGTCCTGTCCATGTGGCCCTGTCTGGACTTTAACTCAAGAGCCTCCTGCCTCAGATCCCCAGATGCCAGGATTATAGATAGGCACTATCATGCCTCACTTAAAAATATTTTTAAGCCGGGCGGTGGTGGCGCACGCCTTTAATCCCAGCACTCGGGAGGCAGAGGCCGGCGGATCTCTGTGAGTTCGAGGCCAGCCTGGGCTACCAAGTGAGTCCCAGGAAAGGCGCAAAGCTACACAGAGAAACCCTGTCTCGAAAAACCAAAAAAAAAAAAAAAAAAAAAAAATATTTTTAAAAGAAAAATCAAGGTTTTCAGCTTTCATTGATGGTAGAGATGCTGGAAGATTAGCTTTTCTGGAAAACAATTAAGGGGTTGGACAAAGTGCTGGAGGGCTAGGAGGGATCTGTTTTAAGATAATTGGAGGCCTCAGCCAGGACTTGAGTGGCCAGGCTCCAGGAGGTGACCCTGACAGTCTCTGGTACTTTTCTCCACCCTTGGTGATTGGCCGACAGTACCTGGCTGAGAAGCTAAGACCTGGAACAGAGAGTGGTAGCTAGGGAACTGGGGAGCTGGGCTGGTGCAGGGGCCAACCCCAGGCTGAAAGGACACACAGTGGCTGTCTGGATCTGACCAAGGACATGGGACCCTGATGGGGCTCCCCGAAGGGTCACCCCAGTACTGAGAATGAACAACAGCAATAGAAGATCAGACCTCACAAAAAAAACGATGTTCCTTCCAAATTGGCTCAGCCCAGACTAGGTTAGGATGGTCCCTTTGCTGCCTACTGTAGAGCCTCTGGAGGTAGGTGTGAGCGGATGACACATGGTAGGCATGGGGGCTGGGAGATAGTTCAGTCAGTCACACAAGCGTGAGGACCTCAGTCCAGATCCTCAGCATCCTGCAAATTGTCCTCCGACCTCCACGCTCATGTCATGGCATGTGATGTATGAGCATACATACAAGTAAATGAATGTAACAAAAGATTTTAAACCTTTAAGTTTTATGCTAAGTGTATTTTGCCATAATTTAAAAATAAAAAGACATTTTCTTAAAATGAAAATAGCTGTCATTAATGTGTCCAAGGAAGGATAATGGGAAATTTCTTTAGAGAGCTAGGAATTATTAAAAAGAACCAAAGGTGATTTCTAGAACTCAAAACATACAAGAACTTTAAAACTCACTGGAAAAAAACTTATCCAAACAAGACAACTAGCATGCATCTTTCTTCCCGCTCCTCCCTTCATAACAGCTGGAATATGGGTGTGATGGCTGGAGTCCCAGTGGCCATCTTGAACTTGTAGGTGAGGGCCAGACTCTAGTGTGACAGCAAAGAGAGTTGGAAGGAAGCGAGATGGTTTTGTAGAGCAAACATCTGCACATGTGACAAATGTCACATCAGGTGTCAATCCTCTGACACAATTACCTAGTTGAATTGTTTGAGGAAGTAAGAACCATGCTGGGATCAGAACGCTGGAAGTTAGTTAATGAAGAGGGAGCGGGGAAAGGTGTATAGATAGAGAGCACAGGATACATCCAAAGAACTGAGGAAGGCTGAGAGGGCTGAGGCCCAGAATAAAGGAGCCCAGGGCCGTGAAATAAGACTGGAGGAGTTACCGATCTATCGCTGTAGAAGAAAAGTGACCTGAATAGACTAAATAGAGGTAAGATTGAAGAGGAAACAGAGGCGCTTCAGCCAACTCATTCTTGCTGCAGAAGAAAGTGAATAGGGGTGTGTAGCTAGAGTTTTCCTGCCTGGCCCACAGTCAGGACAAATCTCTCTCACCTGCCAGTCCCACAGCCGCTCAGACCCGACCAAGTAAACTTATATTGCTTACAAACTATATGGCTGTGGCAGGCTTCTTGCTAACTGTTCTTACAGCTTAAATTAATCCATTTCCATTAATCTATACCTTGCCACGTGGCTCGTGGCTTACCGGCATCTTCACATGCTGTTTCTCATCGTGGTGGCTGGCAGTGTCTCTCTGCCTCAGCCTTCCACTTCCCAGCTTTATTCTCCTCCTTGTCCCGCCTACACTTCCTGCCTAGCCAATGGTCAATCAGTGTTTTATTTATTGACTAGTCAGCAACACATTTGCCATGCAGAACATCCTACAGCAGGGGGTGTGTGTGTGTGTGTGTGTGTGTGTGTGTGTGTGTGTGTGTGTGTTGTATGTGTGCACAGAATGGATTAGGACACCAATTAGATTGTTCAGTGGTCCAGGTGAGGGATAGACAGAACTGGATTGGATTATGATAATAGGATTAATTTATTCATCCAAAAATATTCATCAGGCATCCCACATATCCCTGCTGCTCTAAGCTTTTTTTTTTTTTCCTCCTCCTCAGGGTCCTTGGATCCTAGCGGGAGGTAGGCACAGTACCCAAAGTGGCAGATGGTGTCCAGGGCAGAAGGGTCATGAAGGCAGTACAGGGTGTGTGTGGTGAGGGGAGGCAGGGTGCTAGTTTATGTAGGAAGGTTGGAGATTTGTCTGATAAGGTGGCATTTTTGAGACCTGAAAAAAGTTAAGTCAAAACTGCATGAGTCTCCAGGGAAGGGAGAAAGTGTATGTAAAGTCAGAGGTAAAGAAACAAGCATGGCCACCGTGGGGGGTTGCAAATGCAGAGGCAGGTCTATCATTAAGGCCCACTAGGCCCTGGGTAGGACTTGGCTTTTTACTCTGAGTGAGCTTGGAAATAGTAGATTTCCCAAACACAGAACCGTGGTCTGAGGAACTGAGATTCAAAAGACTACCAGAGTGTCAGCTGGGATGCTACTGCAGTTGTCCAAGCCACAGGTAATAGTAGCAACAGAGATGGGGAGAAGTGGACAATTTTGAGATGGGGGGGCAGGGGGGAGAGCGGGATAGGTCATGAGCTTTGTCTCCTGATGTGCTGGGTGTGAAATTTGAGTTATCTAATGCGGTTGGAATATGAGATGGCCTCCACAGACAGGCTCATGTGTAAGGACACTTGGCCTCTAGCTAGTGACACTCATTTGAGAATGTGTGGGACACTGAAAGAGTAAGGCCTGGCTGGCAGACACAGGTCACTGAGGGTGGACTTATAGATGTTAGCCTGGCTCCTGTGGTGGGTGTGAATACCTGTTATCTGTTTACCGCCACACCATGACCAGCCACAAGTTTCCACACCAAAGCCAAAGCCCCAGCTGCTCTGCCTCCCTTGCCATGAAACTGTGAGCTAGAATCTGCTCTCCCTACTCAGCCGCTTGTCCTGCATTTGGGTGCCGTGATGAACAAAATACCTAACACAGAGAATTGGAACTGAGAAGCAGGGATGTTGCTGAGATAAACCTGACTGGGTTGTTCATAAGTCCTTGGAACTGAGTTACACAGGGAATTGGGGGTCGGGGGGAATGTTAATATAGCTACAAAATGAGAGAAGCCCTAGCATGCTGTAACCAGAACTTAGTGGATCATTTGGGTGAACTGTGATAGACCAGAATGCAGAGAGAGAGAGAGAGAGAGAGAGAGAGAGAGAACTGCTTACAGGAAAAACTAGGCTTATGGGATTTCAGAAGGGAACAAAAACTCAATTAGAAGTTAGATTACAGGCCATTTGTGCTACATTCTGGCAAAAAAAAAGAAAAAAATTCTGGGCCCATTTTGCCCATGTCCTAACAATTTGAATTTAGCTCCATTAAAAAGTTATGGGCTAAGTTGCTTGGCAGAGGAACTATTCAGGCAGTATTGCTTTCATGTTGTGGCACGGTTATTGCTTCCTGTGTTTAGTCGGCTTTATAATGACAACCAAACCAGGAGGATCTGAAAATACACCTTGGAAGGGAATGTGAATGTGGCTGAAGTTGAAGGTGGATGAAGGGGCGGCAGGCAAATTGGCTGTAACTGCTAAAGCAGACTGGTGTCGTTAGAGAGAAACCAGGCACTGTGCACTGGAATAAAGCGAAAGGTGCCTTGGGAACAAGGCTCCACCCTCTGAAGGCCCCATGCCACGGCAGGGGTTTCCTGCTCAAAACCCACTATCCGGGGAAGTGTCTTCTCAGAGTCGCCCCCAAAAGGACACAGAGTCCAGAGCAGCTGTGTTCGAAGGGGACCTTCTTACGCTGGCAGCAGAATTTAGCGTTGTCCACTTGGTCCTGGTTTGCCAGGTATGGGAGGTGTGAGAGTAGCAGGGTTATGAATCCTTCTGCAAGGGTTCAGAAAGCTGCAGAGGCAGGCAGTGCGTGGCGTGACTGGACTCTCTGCAAGGCGCCCCTGAGAACCCGTTGCATGAAGCTGTGAATGGAAAGATTAAGTTGCAGTGGGGCCCATGGGATTTAGGAGATGGAGAAAACAGGGAACATTCACCAAGGAAAACTGCGGGCAACTGGGTGGAGTCAGTCTGGGCAGCAGAGCTGAGAGATGGGGCTATCTCCCACATTTGGAACCCAGATGATAATGCTGAGAGCCCCAACATGCTGGACATAGAGCTACACGATTGGGGGTTTTCCCTGTAAGGTTTCAGTCTTGCTTTGGTCCAATCTTTGAAGATTTATTTTTGTCTTGTGCATATGGGTATTTTGCCTGAATGTTTGTACACGCACCAAATGCATGCAGTACACGTAGAGGCCAAAAGAGGGCATGGAATCCCCTGGAAGTGGAGTTACAGGTGGTTGTGAGTTATCGTGTAGGTGCTGGAAATAGAACTCGGGTCCTCTGAAAGAGCAGCCACTCCTTAACCATTGACCCATCTCTCCAGCCCCTTTGGTCCCATCTGTCCTTACTATGTTTCTATCTTTTGCTTTTTGAATGGGAATGTTTATGCCATTCTATGTTGGAAGTAACTTATCTTTTGATTTTACAGGGACTCACAGTTAAGAGAGTGTCTGGAATCTTAGAAAAGACCTCAGCTTTTACAGTGTTGGGACTATAAGACTATGCAGCCTTTTGAAGTATTAAATGCATCGTTGCACTATAAAATGACCAGGAGCCTGCCTGAATATGGAATGTCCCACGCAGGCTCAGGTCTTTAAACACTCGGTCCCCAGGTGGCTATACTGAGGTCATGAAACCTTTAAGAGGTGAGGAAATAGGTTGTCATAAGCAAGCCTGTGGTCAAAGCCTAGCCCCAGTTCTAGCTTGCCTGTCCCTGCTTCCCACCTGCCCCTACAATATGACCAGGCACAAGCTCCACATGAAGGCCAGAGCCCTGACCACCATGCTACCCTCACCATGAAACTGTAAGCTAAGATCAGCTCCTCTTCCCCTAAGCTTCTCATCAGCATAGGATTGCAGTAACTAATGCACCACCTAAGAGACCGTTAAGGAGCAGCTGGTCCCACAGGCCAGGGCTCAGAGCCTTTTTGAGATAAAGTGTCGTCCATTGGGGGGGCCCCTCCTTCCAGATGAACTGATACTCTCATTTCCCTCCCCAGAATGAGCGAGAACAAATCATGACCACCAACATCTGGCTAAAACAGGTAAGTGCCTTGGAGGGTCCCCAGCCTAGGTGATGTTTCCTCTGGGGCTGCTCTCTGGTAACGGTGGACCTCCAGGTGACATGGCCTTGTCTGTGTACTCAGGAGTGGACTGATTACCGCCTGGCCTGGAACAGCTCCTACTATGAAGGGGGTGAACATTCTGAGGATCCCGGCAAAGCGCGTCTGGCTGCCTGACATCGTGTTGTATAACAAGTGAGTGGGAGGTGGCTGGAGTTAGTGAGGTCAGGCCAGAGCACCAAGCCAGCCTTCAGGGCCATCCGTACCTGAGTCCAACCCCATCCCTCCTCTTCTACACTTCATTCAGACTTCTAGGCCCTGGAGCTGGAGAAATAGAGATGGTGGAGACAGAGACTTCCAAATGGGAGGGTGGGAAGGGAAGCCTGGAGAAGGGAAGGGCCTTGTCCTGCTCAGCACAGCAGGGACTAGGCCAGCCTTCAGACCCTCAGGCCAGTGTCCTTACCATTCCTGCCTCGCCATTCTGTCTTTTCGTGACTTGGTGGCTTTGTCAGTGTTGGGGACCACAACATTGACTTGTCATATGTCAATACTTCGGGTATATTAGTGTGATAGCAGCTATTTGAGAGGCTGAGGCAGGAGGATCAGGAACCCAGGAGTTTGAGATCAGCCTGGGCAAAGAGAGTGAACATGAGAAAGAATAGACAGCCAAGAATCGAGCTAGATGAGGGTCCATATCTCATCTCTGCCACTTACTGGTCTAAGGAGCTTGATAACATCTTCCAGCTTCCCCAAGCCTTGCTTTCCAAGCTATAAAATGAGGAACACAATAAAAATGTTGCTTCCTTGGACTCTTGTAAGGCTTAACTGAGCTAATTCCACGAGAGGCTTCAGTGCATCATGGCAGGGAGTTGCTGAGAAACACAGGCCTGTTTCAGTGAGGAAGGTAGATGACTCCCAAGGACTCTGGGTGGGTTCTGAGAACAATCCAGTCTTCCTCTGTAGATGTGTGATGTTCTCCTCTATGCCCCGCCCCACCCCAGTGCTGATGGGATCTACGAGGTGTCTGTCTACACCAATGTCATCGTGCGTTCCAATGGCAGCATCGAGTGGCTGCCCCCTGCCATCTACAAGAGCGCCTGCAAGATTGAGGTGAAGCACTTTCCCTTCGACCAACAGAACTGCACTCTCAAATTTCGCTCCTGGACCTATGACCACACAGAGATCGACATGGTCCTTAAATCACCCACAGCCGTCATGGATGACTTTACCCCCAGTGGCGAGTGGGACATCGTGGCCCTCCCAGGACGAAGGACGGTGAACCCGCAGGACCCCAGCTATGTGGATGTGACCTATGACTTCATCATCAAGCGCAAGCCGCTCTTCTACACCATCAACCTCATCATCCCCTGTGTGCTCATCACCTCGCTGGCCATCCTGGTCTTCTACCTGCCCTCGGACTGCGGGGAGAAGATGACGCTCTGCATCTCCGTGCTGCTGGCGCTCACATTCTTCCTGCTGCTCATCTCCAAGATTGTGCCTCCCACCTCTCTTGACGTACCGCTCATTGGCAAGTACCTCTTGTTTACCATGGTGCTGGTCACCTTTTCCATCGTCACCACGGTTTGTGTCCTCAATGTTCACCACCGCTCACCCAGCACTCACACCATGGCAGCCTGGGTCAAGGAGTGCTTCCTGCACAAGCTGCCCATCTTCCTCTTCATGAAGCGCCCAGGTCTCGAAGTGAGCCCAGCCGGGATCCCTTATCCCGGCCAGTTGCACCTGACCACAGCTGATGCAGCAACCACCTCTGCCTTAGACCCCGCCAGCCCATCTAACGTCTATGGGCATTCTATGTACTTTGTGAACCCTGTCCTCACCGCTCCCAAGTCTGCAGTCAGCTCCCACACAGCAGGCAACCCCAGGGATGTCCGGCTGAGGTCCTCTGGGAGGTTCCGGCAGGATCTACAGGAAGCTTTAGAGGGCGTCAGCTTCATCGCCCAGCATCTGAAAAGTGATGACCAGGATCAGAGTGTAAGTCACCAGCCCTTCCCCCACCACCTGAGTAAGACATTCAAAACGGAAGTGTTTTATTATAGCTTCATAGGTGAGGAAGAAGCAATGATCCTCCTGTGTTGGTCCTGGGTTCCCCCAAAGCAGAGTCTGAGATGGGGTTTGGATACAGGTAGCTCACTTGTGATGTCACCCTAGGAAGTGCAATGAGGATGTAGAGAAAGCAAAACAGAGGGAAAGAGGGGCCCTGCTGTAGGATACCAGCCAGCTTGCTGTTGTGGGTACAGCATAGAGACCCCCAAGGACCCAGACAACTAGCGTCAGAAACATCTCCTGGAGGGAGGGAGGCTGGAGTATTTATCTCCAGCTCCCATCTCCCTTCAGTTGACAGTAGCCCTGGGATATGGTCTTCCCTATACTTCCATTTATGCCCAGTTGCCAGAGCCAACACCCTCTGTGGTAGAGAAAACCCGGAGGCAGAGCAGAGGAGAGCTGCATGCCCTGAGAGGAAGGTTCTCGGTGGATCTGAAGGTGGTTCAGCCATCCATAGAGAGCATAGCTTGGGTTGGGTTGCATGGGGCTTCTGCTCCTACCTTTTCAGACTTGCAAAGAAGCCCTGTGAGGAGTTATACCCTTCAGGAGCATAGAAACATCAGTTAGAGCGTTTTTGCTACCAGGCTAATACATTATTATGTAGGGTGACCAGAATGGCAGGTTTTCTAAAATGAGGTTAGGTTCTCCTTCTCAGGACACCATGAGTTCTAGAGTTTGTGCATCTCAGATGACTCCTCTGAAGAAGTGGCACCTGTGTTTTAGTGTCAGTCTGTTGCTGTGGCAAACACTACCATCAGCAGCAACTTCAGAGAGAAAAAGAATTCATTTGGCTTATACTTGCAAGTCACAGGAACTCAAGGTGGGAACTTGAAGCCAGGCCTGCTTCCTATTCCAACAGAATTACCTCTAGCTCACCACAGCCAAGAAGAATAGCAGAAACTCTTGGAGGAAGGCTGCTTGCTGGCTCACTCACAGACTCATTCCTTAGCTAGCTTCCTTGTCCATCCCAGGCCACCTGCCCAGGGAATGGTACTGCCCACAGTGGGCCGGGCCCGCCTACATCCATTAACAATCAAGACAGTCTCTCCGAGGATATGCCCACAACCCAATCTGCTCAGGGCAATCCCTCAGTTGAGGCTCCCTTCTCAGGTGATTCTTGTCTGTGTCAAGTTGATAGTGAAAACTAAGTAGGATAATGAGTGAGGGAGATTTTATAATGAATAGATACATGGAGACCTTCATGGTTAGAGTCTCCTGTGAGTTTCTCTACCTGAAAGAGCATGCGTCATATGCATGAGAATGTTCCGGTTTCAAGGCAGATAGATCCTCTCAGATTCCTTAAGCAGCGTTTTATGTTGCAACATTGTGTCCCCCCACTGGCCGCTGCAGAACAGAAGAGGACTTCTTCCTTCTTACCTTTTTGCAATTCCTTCCCACAACTAGATTCCCAGGGGAGAACTCTGGCATTCCATTAGTTAGCCCCAACTGTAGAGCACAAGCTGCAAAGTCTCAGAATCACACCGTGAGGAAAGAGGAGAATTGCTAAGAAAGAGAATGTCGGGCCTGTGGGTCATCGGCCTCCTGCTCAGACAGTAGCTCCCCGTCCTGTAGGGTCAGCCCACCTAGAGCTTGTTAAGACACCAAGGGTCCTCTCGGGCCTCCAACTCAGAATTTTAACCAGATCTCTGAGGCCTCCTAGGCCCGTTTCGGTCAGAAGCACAGCTCCGTTGTATTTAATAACGCTAGTATTTCTTTCATTCCCCTCCCCCATCTCCTTGTAGCCTAGGCTGGGCTTGAACTCACTACACAGCTGAAGGTGACCTTGAACTTTAAAAAAAATATTATCAACTCTTTATCCTTAAAACCAGCCTCATTGTGAACACCATAGCACTCCGAGCTGGCCTGTACATCACATTCCTTTTGTGTGTATCAAAATTCATACTGAATCATGATCCTGGGTTGCAGGTTTTCACCCATCTTTGTGGTCCTCTACCACTCCAGTCAAAAGCACACAGAGTGCTAAGGGATTCTTTTTTGTTTTAGGCAGTGTTTCATGTAGCCCAGGAGGGTCTCAAACTCACTGTGTAGTTGAGGATGACCGTGAACTAACTTACTCCTCCTGCCTGCGCCTCCCCAGTGCGGGGATTTCAGGCATGCACCCCCACCCAGATTTTATTCTGGCGCTGGGGACCAAACCCAGGGCTTTGTGCAAGTGAAGCAAACACCTATCACCAAGCCACATCCCCAGGACTGACCCTGGACTTGATCTTCCTGCCTCCACTGAGTTCGGGATTTCTGGAGGAAGCGTTAGGAGCCACTTCTTAAACTCCTGTGGGTTCCTGTGCACATCCCGCTTGAGAAACACTGGTCTCCTGCCCTCTGGCTTGAGCTAGCCCCATCCTGAGCTTTTTCTCCCAAGGACCTCACTGCCCCCTTGGCACCTGCGGGCCCCATCGGTTAATAACCAGCCCCAAGAGGGAAGGAGCCAGGCGGAACTCAGTGGGATTATACCCACCTGTGTGCCGGTAGTGCCAATCATGTGTCAGGTGCTCTGTACGAGTCGGCAGACAATCCTAACTCTCCCAGGAATCCTGGGGAGTGGCTTTTACGAAAGCCCTTATTTTACAATGGGAAACTGAGGCACAGAATAACCCTCTGACTTGTCTCGGGTCACACAGCTGGTTCATAGCTGCAATCCTTAAACTCTGGGCGCCCTCTGAGGGTCTTGCCCTGCCCTGAGCACATGATGAGCTTGTTACCAATGATTTTCTTCTGTGTAGTTAGAGAAGTCCGTTTTCCCTCTCACGGCAGGGCCTACTGCTAAGCCATCCCAGGAGCTGTTTCTCATCCACAGCACTTTTGCCCTCCATAATGACTAACTGGTCACTGTAAGTAGCACAAAACGATGGGAATGTGCTGGAAATTAAGGCTGTCAAAATGAATTCCTCCATCCCTACTATCGCTGTGTGTGGGGAGGCCCACTTGCCTGCCCCGGAACAGGACCAATCCGTGTTTGAGGGAGTGGAGTTTGATCTGACATAGGATTATCCTGGAGTGTGACTCACACTGTGGATGGGCCCTGGCAAATTGGGTCGCTGACGTCAGCTTGTGCGTTGCTGCCTGTATGTCTAACTGCAGAGTCTTCCCAGCCAGGGAGTGGAGAAGGGAGGCCGGGGTGCTGGGCACATGACCACTCTCTCTGAGGGTCTCTCAAAGCACCAAGGAGGCAGGTACATCTATGGTGGTACCTCTGGAAGCCAGCCAGGTTTCTGCTGGTGTCACAGCCCATGGTTGGGTCTCAGAAGACCAAGTGTGTGCAGAGCAAGAAAGTGGGAATGCCAGAGAGCCAGATGACGAGGCCAGGGGAGGTGGAGCCTTGATTATAGAAAACAGGCGCTGTGCGTAGAGTGGAACTGATTAAACCGTGAGGTTTTCAGGTGTTCTATAAGCTCTTGTCAAGCAGGTAGGCCCTACATCTTCCGCTCTCCAGAGCCAGCTAAGACAGAGGATTTAGGGTAAAAATGAGAAGGAACCAGTCATCCCTAAGCCACAACTGCCTTTGCCCATAACCAGATTTGGCTTTAAAATCACCATGTGCGCTTTATTTGGGTCTCTGTTTCTTCATCCATGGATTCATCTGACTGTGGATAAAATAATGGGTAGAAAAGGCGTCTGCACTAACATGTGTACTCCCTCCTGGCCATTAGTCCCCAAACACAGGACAATGACCGCTTATATAGCATTTACATTATGTCAGGAATTCACATGGTCTATAGGCATTGTAAATTCAGGGGAGGATTTCATGATGTCTTCGGTTTCTATTGCTGTGATGAACTCCATGACCAAAAGCAACTTGGTAGAGAACATTTGGCTTACATATCCTGAGTCATAGTTCACTGAGGGAAGCCACGGTTGGAGCTCAAGGCGAGAACTGAGGCAGAGCCGTAGGGAAAGGAACACACTGTTCACTTGCTTGCTCCTCATGACTCACTCAGTCTGCTTTCTTCTGTGGCCCAGGACCACCTGCCCAGGAGTAGCAATGCCCACAGTGGGCTGGACCCTCTCACATCTATCATTAACAAGAAAATGCCCTACAGACTAACAGGATAGAGGCATTTTTTTTTTCAATTGAGGTTCCGCTTCCCAGAGGACTCTAGCTTGTATCAAGTTGACCAAAACATAATGAGGATGCATGAGCTGTATGCACATATTGCACCCTTTGAGGCTGTGAGGTCTTGAGCGGCATCAGGGTTTGGGTGTTCATAGGGGACCCCAAGAAGACCGAGAAACAGCTGTACAGCCCAAGCCCCCTGCCTCTGTTCCTTCCTCCTCCAACCCTGGTCAGGTCAGGTGGGGCTGAAGGACACCAAAAGAAGCACCAGAACTGCCCAGTGGAGGCCAGCCTGGGATTCAGAACCTGCCACACCAGTGTATAGCTCTAAGCCCCCGTGTGGCCTGTGGGGTCCTGGTCAGCAGGGGAAGGTGTGGTTCAGAGGGAGGAAGTACTCTGTGCTTGGCACCTGTAACCAGTCCCTGTCTGTCTGCAGGTCATCGAGGACTGGAAATTTGTAGCGATGGTCGTCGACCGCTTGTTCCTGTGGGTGTTTGTGTTTGTGTGCATCCTGGGTACCGTGGGGCTCTTCCTACCTCCCCTCTTCCAGACCCATGCCCCTTCCAAGGGCACCTAGACTACCCAGCATGCCAAGGGCCCCTGGGTTATAGCGAGATGATAGGAGAAGCCAAGTGGGCAGTTCACTGCTTCCTCTGGGTCACAGCTAAGGAGGCCCTAAGGAAAGATGTGACCACCGGCAGTCAACCCCATCAAACCCGCCACGATGAGAAGGACGAAGGTGGGTGGCTTGCACTGTTCCCTCCGAATGCCTCAATTAAGTCCCTGCAGGAGGGGTTTAGGCTGCCCAAGTCCAGCCTGGCCTCCCTCCTTCCCTGTGCCAGGCCCTGGAGTCAGACAGTCATAGAAGCAGCACCTGCTGTTCCGTGTATCACGCCATCACACCCCAGGCCGCCACCACACCCCAGGCCGCCATCACACCCCAGGCCGCCATCACACCCCAGGCCGCCATCACACCCCAGGCTGCCGTTCCATCCATCTCCCTCCACTCCCAGCTACCCACGAGATTCCTGGGTCTTCCATTTCCTCACACATCCAGATTCTCCCAGGTCAGAATCTTTATGTCTGCTGTAGCTCCTCCCAAATCCTCAGACTCTTACTTCCCCAGCTTCTCACATGGCTGCACTAGTCAGGGCTCTACTCCCATGATCCTCTGCTCCAATGTCATTTCTTGTAGAAGCCTTCCCTAGTCATGCATTCCAAAGCACTGTCTCCCATAACTGCATTAAACCTCCGTGAGTGTCCCCCATTGGTACCTGCAGTTTAGTTGGTGGCACACCAGTCACCTGTCCCTTGCCCCTGAGAGTGTGTGCTCCACAAGGGCGAGGGACAGAGCTCTGTACACAGAAGGTGAAAAATAAATGTTCGCTGAATGAAGAATGGCTCCTGCTTTCCTTCAAGCTCACATGCTCCCTCTGAGTAGCTGCCTTTGGTCCCCACCTCTAGAAAGAGTGGCCAGCCTTCTCCGGGACATCACAGCTCTGGCTGCTTTCTGCCTTTACATCACGGTTGGTTCAGACCTGTCTCTCTCACACACCCACACTGGTCCATTTCTCACACTACTTGCCCCATTGATGGCACTCAAGATATTTCTGGAGTTAAGGAGAATATTTAAAAATTTTTAAAAATATTATTTTATGTGCATGGATGTTTTGCCTTCATATATTTGTGTGCACCATGTGCATGCTTGGTACCCCTGGGGGCCAGAAAAAGGCACTGGAGTCCCTGGAACTGGACTTAAAGACATGAGCCGCCATGTCAGCGCTGGGAATCAGACCTGGATCCTCTGGAAGGGGAGCCAGTGTTCTTGACGGCTGAGTCTCCAGCCCCTGAAGGAGAATACTTTATTTATTTATTTATTTATTTATTTTTGGTTTTTTCGAGACAGGGTTTCTCTGTGTAGCTTTGCGCCTTTTCCTGGAACTCACTTGGTAGCCCAGGCTGGCCTCGAACTCACAGAGATCCGCCTGGCTCTGCCTCCTGAGTGCTGGGACTAAAGGCGTGCGCCACCACCGCCCGGCTGAAGGAGAATACTTTAAAGAGTGTTGTTTTTACAATTATCATACAATAAAGTTGGCTTCTTCATGTATAATCCTTTAAATTTTAACGTGAGTCTACATTTGTATAACCATCACTAGGACAAATGAAATGTGTTTCACGCAAGCTCTGCTGCTATTCTGTATCGTGCCATGGCCTGCACACTTGGCCTTGGCACCCCTGGCCACCCCTTACCTTTTCTCCATCACTCTAGTTCAGAATCTTCTAGCCTGTGGCTTATATGGAATCCAACAGGGTGTAACCATTAGAGACTGGCTTTTTTTTTCTGCTGCATCTTTAAAAGTAACATCATTGGGCCAGTAAGACGGCTCAGTGAGTGGAGGTACTTACGTCTCAGGCGAGGTGAGGCGACCTGACTTTCATCGCTATAGTCCGTATAAGGATGGAAGGAGAGAACTGACTCCACAAAGTTGTCCTCTGGCTTCCATGTGTATGCACACCCACACAGTCAATAAAAATCTTTAAAAAACAAACTTTTATTTATTTATTTATTTATTTATTTGGTTTTTCGAGACAGGTTTCTCTGTGTAGTTTTGCGCCTTTCCTGGAACTCGCTTTGGAGACCAGGCTGGCCTCGAACTCACAGAGATCAGCCTGCCTCTGCCTCCCAAGTGCTGGGACTAAAGGCGTGTGCCACCACCGCCCGGCCAAACTTTTATTGAAGTATGATTTACACACCATAAAATTCACTCATTTTCAGTGGACAATTCTGTGAGTTTTAGTATGTTCATGGCCACGATCCAGCCTAGTACCTCTCCTTCACCCTAACAAGCTCCCTAATAACCATCAAGGAAGCCTCCAAAGTGCCAAGCCATCCCCGGTGGGTAGCTAGAGAAGCAGAGGGACCCCAGGACACCTACCCTGTCACTGCCTATTCCTGGGACACCCAGGCTAGCAGGTGGCAGTGAGACAAAGCAGAGTCTACAAGGGTCAGGGTGGAAAGCCGGATACTCTCTCTGTTTCAACCTTACCTATAAAAGCATTTATTTGCTATGCTGGGGATCCAAACCTGGGCCTGGGGTATGCCAGGGCAGCCCTCTCCTGCTGAGCTGTAACCTCCAGCATTGTTCTGTGGCTTATTAAGGAGCGTTTCTAGCATAGTCTAAATTAAGAGAATAATATAAAACCTCCCGGGTGTCTTCACCGGGCCATGATAAACTCATCACCAAAATTATTTCGACTCTAACCCATCTATTCCCCCTTAACTGTATGCTGCCTGTATGCACGTATGTATGTGTACACACCCGTACCGTGCTGAAAATAGTTACTTTAAGAGCATCAACTTCCATGGCCTCGTTTTGAGTTGCACCAGAGCTGGCACAGCCTTGCGGTGGTCCCCCAGCCCTCCTCGGAGGTGCACGCGCCCGGCAAGCCCTGGCCAAAGACTTGCCCCTTTTTTTCCTGCCCGGGTGACAGTGCTTGCGCCGGGTCTGGTCCTTAGCCTAGAGGTTTCCAGACTCCAGGGCTGCTCAGGGCGAGGCAGCGACCCGACGCCCCTCCCACGGCGGGTGCAGCTCCCGCCTCGCCTCGGCCTCCCCGCCCCGCGGCTGCTCGCGGCGCTCGGCGGCCCCGGGGTTCGTGCATTTCGGGCGCGCAGGTGCGCGGGAGCTCGGCGACAGGAAGCCGGGTGGAGCCCCGCGGTCCCCGCGCCCGCACAGCTGGGCGTCGGCGGTCAGCACCCGAGTGGATCCCGCCCTGTCCACGCGGTCTCCAGACATGGACGCCGCGCCGCTCCGGTCGCCGCTGTCGATGCTGCTGCTGCCGCTGCTGCTACTGCCAGGTACGCGCGGGGAGCGGTCGGGTCCGGAGGCCGGGCGGGCGGCGGGCGGCGGCCGAGGGGTCGCCTGTGCGAGGCTGCAGCCCTGGCCTCGGCTTTCCACCAGGCTTCGGCCACCAGCCCCATAGAAGTCTGGGCGCCCACCCGCCCTGGATCTCAGCGTGGTCCCACGGTTCAGACAGTGCGCGCGCATCCCAGTCCCTACCTCGCTGAGCCCCTTGGGCGCTCCTTTGTTCCCAAGCCTCTCAGTTAGCGGAGGCTCGGTGGGGAGCTCAGAGCGGGCCCTCTGGGTCTGCGCGGGAGTTAGAGGTTCGAGTCCCGGTCCCGAACGTCGCCCTGCTGCAGGGACCCGCAGCCCCGCTTCCAGTATCTGCCTTCTGGCCACTGTTTGGTTTTGTGAACTGTGTGGGAAGCCCTGTGGTTAAAGAAGGCTGAAGACTTGTCCAAAGCCACCTGGAGTACCGAGTGGTTTGGAGCTGGGGTTGGACCAAGCCTCTGGTCCTGGTCCTCTGGTCTCAGCACAATGACCGCGTTGCCTAGAGACCTTCGACGTGATTGCTCCTCCCAGGCCATCGCAGAGACGTTAGAGGAGTCTGTTAGGAGGAAGCCCTTCCAGGGACCCGAGATGGCTGGTGGATGAGGCAGAACCGCAGCTACGATGTCCCCTGAAGGCGGGCAGAGCCTGCCGTTCACTGGGGGTTGAGGGGTGGCTTGCATCATTACAGTCTGCACTCCGGCGAGGGGCCCGCCGAAATCGGCCTGAAGAAGTTGGGTTACCACTTCCCCCAAAAGACTGTCCCTCGACTGACCCCAGTACTGTAAGTAGGAAGCAGCCAACACTTAAGCCAAGATGTCTCGCTTAGCTGGGGTAGGCTTGTGAACAAAGAGGGTGCCCAGGGGCCTCCGAGGTAAGGAGTTGGGGTCAAGGCAGCACTGGCAGGAACCCGTGGGCACCTTGGCTCCTAAGACATCCATATCCAAAGCCCTGCAGACTGCGGGAGGATGGAGGAAGGGGCTGCAGTCTCCCACATAGTGGGAAACAGGTCTCCTAACCTGAGGGAACCCTGGATGTCCCCGCCCCCGCCCCGGGATTGGGTGAGTCATCTTTCCACCTGGGAAGCAGGGGTACCTTCCTTGGAGTAACAATAAAAGTCTGAGCCTCTAGTAGTTCTTTTAATATTATTATTATTATTATTATTATTATTATTATTATTATTATTATTATTATTAAAAGCAAAGTTGGGTGGCTTATGTAAAGAAAGGTTAGAGTTTTATTAAGAAAAAGGTATCTGGTTCAGCTGGTAAAGATACTCACCACCCAGCCTGACAACCTGAGTTTTATTCCCAGGACCCTCACGGTGGAAGGAGAGAAATGAGTTTTGAAGGCTAAGTTTTGAACTCCACACACATGCCACGGTCTGCACCCCTCCCCCATAATGTAATAAAAAAATTTAAAGAAGAAAAAAAGGTAGTCTTTGCTTAAATTGAAGAGAGAGAAGGAGAGAGGGAGAGAGGAAGCTAAGAACATGGTAATAACACACCCAGAAGTATGGATGTCTGAAGAGCGTCCCATCAAGCTAACAGTTCCTGAGAGACTGCCACAGGCCACCGAGCAAAGCACTTCACTCTCATTTTTGAGGTGCATTGATGCATACTCTATTGGGATTAATCCACGGAGTCTATTTAATGATCAAAGGAATTTATTGGGGAGTAAACTCACAACCACAGCAGGTTTATCGTAGGGTCCAGGAAAGCTGAGCTATGTCCCATGCTGAATGGCTTGGTCTAAGACCTCAGCATCCAAAACCATGAGGTAGCCAAGAGGAGGAGGTGTAGTTGCATCCCAGGTCTTAAGGGTCCCTGGTGGCCATACCCCAGGGGCATGTACCTCAAGGTCATAGGCAGCTGTAACAGCTACAGCTGCCTCACTAGGGGTGATGCTTCAGGGCATGGCTCAGATAGCTACCCGCTACAATATTCTTTATGTTGATAGATTAAAAACAAACAAACAAACAACAAACAAACAAAGGTTCAGAGAGTTTAAGCTACTAGCCAAAGCTTGCACGGCTTCCCACGCTTTGCTGGGATATATCCCAGATGTACCCAGCTTCAGAACTCAGGCTTCTAAACCACCGAATGTGAGTGACCTGGTAGAATTCTTGTCCTTCCTGAGCCCCCGGTTTCCAGCTTCTAACAAAGGGAGCGTTATTAGCCTGGAAACCTGGGTTTGCAGAGTACGCTGGCAGATGGACATCTGGAGACCGGATGTCCTCGCGGAGAGAGGTAAGCGACCATTTCCCCAGGAACTGACAGGAATGCCTCCCTCAGCGGCCAGTGCCTCAGAAGCTGAGCACCGCCTGTTCCAGTACCTGTTCGAAGATTACAACGAGATCATCCGGCCTGTGGCCAACGTGTCCCACCCAGTCACCATCCAGTTCGAGGTGTCCATGTCTCAGCTGGTGAAGGTGGTAAGTGCTAGAGCCACCAGGTGTGGCCCCGGGGTTCTAGGGGAGCCTGTCTGGAGTCAGCCTTATTTTTGTCCTTCACCTGTCAACTTCGATCTCACTTTCTAGGATGAGGTAAACCAGATCATGGAGACCAACCTGTGGCTGAAGCAGGTACGTGCGCAGGCTCTGTGTGCTGCTGCCCCCTGGTGGTAATCTCTTTCTCTGCTGCTGGGAAACAAAAGGGGCTGCAGACTGGACGCTACTCCTGAGGACCCCCAGTCAGGGTACCTCTGTGCTCTTCAGGACTGACTCCTCGTGTTACAGATAGGCAAGCTACAGCCTAGAGAGAGAATTCTCTCCATATCCCCACTATGAAATTGGACAGGCTGGATGTGGTGGCTCACATCGTTGATCCCAGCACTCAGAAGGCAGAGGCATGGGGATTTCTGTGAGTTCAAAGCCAGCCTGGTCTACATAGAAAGTTCCAGGATAGCCAGGACTATGTCGAGGGGCCCCTGTCTCAAAAGAACAAACAAAAAAAACCAACCAAACAAAGCCAGCTTGGTCTACAAAGTGAGTTCCAGGCCAGTCAGGACCACACAGCGAGGCCCTGACTCAAACCCCTGCCCCACACTGGAACCCCAACCTCTAATTCTGGTGGCACTTGCGATCTCATCCTCCCTTTCTCTTGCAAAGCCAGAAGTGGGTTCTGTTGCATTGTGGGTAGGATGGGAGTAGAGACACTGGTGTTCTTCGGATGAGGCAATGAGATTGATTCCCACAAGTCCTCCACAGGGAGGCTCTGATCAGATCTGTAGGGGGACATCATGGCCCTCCAGCCTAATGGTGACCCATCTTCCGGCTCAGCCAGCCTCAAACTCAGCTCCTACGGCCTTTGTTTCAAGAGGCTGGCAAGCCAAGCCAAGTGCTCCCTCTCTGTGCTCCCACATGCTCCCTCTGTGGCCATGGTCCCACCCTGCTTCCTTCTGGAGCTCCGCACCCAGCACTTTTAGGGTCCTGTGGGATCATGGCTCCATTCCAAAAGAAAATTTTTAGTTAGAAAACAGTATTTTATTTTTTGAGATGGGGGGCAGGTGTCTCATGTATCTCAGGCCAGCCTGAAGCTCACTGTGCGGTTGGGGATGACCTTGAACTTGTGA